ATGCATTAATACAAATAAAATTTTTCCTTTATCATAATTAAATATTTGTTTTCTAATGATATTTAAGTGCAAAAGACATTGCAATATTGCATTTGCATAGGATGAAACTTTATCTGTGTTTTGGAAACCACGAATAATCCAACCTGTACTTTTTTGAATATTTTGATGTGGTTCTTGTGGTATTTAAACAGAACTAATTAATTTTGATAAAGTCCATTGATTATTATCTGTAACCTTACGAATCTTTTATTTTGAAACACGAATTATTTCTGCTTCAGGTTTATATATTTTTTTTAACCTATTGTACTCAATAATAGCTTCTTCACTAGCTTTTACAGATGAAGGATCATAATTAATTAAATACAGTCCTTGTAAAGACGTTACTCGAGACAATGCAACATAAATTTGACCAGGACTAAATACAGAATTACCTACATCCATAATAGCGTTCTGCAAACTCAATCCTTGGCTTTTGTGAATAGTGATTCTATAACTCAGACACAATGGAAATTGTTTTCTAATGACATATATTCTTTCCATGACGGGAAATTTGACACATACTCTCTCAATTAAAAATTCTTCACCTGATGGCAAAAAGAGATTTATTTTTTCTATATAATTATTCCATACATCATCTTTAACAACGGAAATCACTTTGCCTATTGTACCGTTTACAAGGCCTTTGCTAGCATCGATGTTACGTCTTATCATAACTTTTGCTCCAATTTTAATAATAATTTTTTTCGCAAGTCCGGCTGTTCTTGAAGAATCATCTTTATGACTTGATAATGTTTTTACAACTTTCCTTTCTACAAAACGATTATACTTTATTTTATCTTCTGCAATTAATACTATTTCTTCAGAAGTAATTCGATTTAGCATTGCCGCATTAAGAACGTCACACATGTGACAAGTAGGTAGTAAACATACGGTATCTGTCAAAAAATCACTAATAAAATTACATAATTCGTTCAATCTAGATTCCATAGATATACCTGTAAACGATAATATTCTGGTTTGAAGGATTTTACAATCAGACTGAGTNACTAATCCAATACGAATTCTCGATAGTAACTCACGATAAGTTTCATCTCCTTGCTGCCGCATATTAATTGTTAATTTATCGTAGTCAAACAATTTAGTCCACAAGTTAGTGGCCTCCAATGAACCGAGATATTTATCAATTTTTTCCTTTGATAAGNTCACAAAAACAGGATCATCGTTTACTGGAGGTAATTAAAGCAAATCTCCAAATAAAAGAATATGTTTTCTACCGAACCAACCGTCATCAGAATCAATAGTGTCGAATATTTGACACAACCGAAGATGTATGTACCCTAACGTCAAATTAGATATCATTGACACTTCATCAATTATAATTAAAATAACATCTTCGAGATCTGCTCGTAAAACTTTTACTACATGATTAGATAATTGTTTATATTTAGGA